CTAGCTTACCTTCTCCAAAGCTGGGACTTCCTTAAGGAAACTTTCCTTAAGGGACTTCCTTAAGGAAAACCGAAGCATCAAGAGAAATGAAGCTATTGGAAATGACCGAGGAATCCAACCTGAACTCCCCTTTCCCACCATATACCCAATGCTGTATTTGTCCTTGTGTATGTGTCCACATACAAGCACACACAAACACACACACACACACACACACACACACACGTTCATCCCAATCCTGGGCTTAGGGCCCAGAACAAAAGCCAGAGGCAACAGATTGTACTAACATTTATGCCCCCCCTCCCCGCAACACAACACACCATCTTTGGCGCTCACCCCTGGCACCAAAGATTGGCACTGGCTCAGCCACTCCCATTAACCCATACGATTCAGCTGCTGGGAATTCTGGCGTTCACCCACAACCTGACCAAGGCTAATTATTGCCTCTGGCCAACATACAGCAAACCTCATCACCCTTAGATAGGGAGCTGGCATGATGGGCCCAAATGCCCCCCAGAATCCCAGCATGAGGCCCAGCCCTGCTCTGGCTGCCAAGCCTCTGGCCTAGGCCTGGCTTCTTACTCTCGTACTTGGGCCACTCATATGGGCCTGGCTTGAAACCTTGTTGGTCTCAAGCCTGCGAGGCTGGAAGGAGCTAGGGTGCAGGCTGGGGCTGCAGAATTAAGCAGATCCAGATGCCCTAGCTCCTGCCAGAGGCTGAGAGCGGGCGAGGAGCCAGCAGATGGAGATGGAGACAGGGTGGCTGAGAAGGGAGGGGAGCTGGGAGCCCGCAAGAACAGGCGCCTGATGTGGGGGCCACAGCACCAAGTGCGGGGAGAGAAAAGTGCTCAGGACCAAAGGCAATGGAGTTGGGGTCAATACGCAAGAGGTCTGGATTGGTGCAGCAGGGACTCAAAGTTTGAGAAATGAACATATAGGGAAGGAGTGGGGTGCCGAGAGGAAGGACGGAGGTGGAGAGGAGCAGCAGCAGATTGAAGGTAGTCAGAAAGGGATAGATGGCAAGCCCTCAGTCAAAGTGCCACAAGACCTCTCCAGAGAAGGACAGAAGGAGGCCTTCACATACCTGTGTCCCCCTGACTGTCTTATTGCCCCCCACCCCGGGTCCCAGCCCCATTTACCCTGGTTAGTCCCACCCTACCTTGATAATCACAGTGACTGAGTGCCCATGGCCTCCAAGACTTCCTCCTACAGGCTAAGAACTGTCTCCCGCTCCACTGAGTCGTGGGACCCCAGAACCATCCCCTCCTTCCCATGTGGAGCCCCACCCGCTCTGGGCCTTAGAGTTGAGCAGGCCCCCTCCTCCACCTCTTCCTCTTCCCTCTCTCATCCCCTCCCACCCTAGGGGCTGGGAAGGAAAGAGGCCTCCCCCCTCAGGCTGGAAAGGAAGCCAGAGACACAGCCAGGACCAGCAAGGAGAGGAGGACAGCTTCTGCTCTTTGCTGTCCCTAGAAGATTTCCTTTGTTTTCACAGAGCCACCAAAGCCTGTTTACTCAGGGACTCACTAGGTGGTTAACTAACACAAAGATATTCACTTGAATACATGTGGACATAATAAAGAGAATTAACACACAGACACACTCCTTCCTGTTCTTTCTACTCTCCAACAATGTTTCCTTGGGGCACAGCTGGCTCTGTTTCCAGGGGAAAACAGGCTTCACACTGGAGAATATAAGGAAAGGCCAGAGACCAGTTCCCCCATTCCCTGGAAGTTCCAGTCATTTCTATTTTCCCCCTCCACCGGCTGGGCCTCAGCACCAGGAAATGCCTTTGATCCCTTGGTGCCAGATACACAAGACACACAGTTACCCTCAGACTCATGCTTTCAGGTACAGTCACACACAGATACACACACTCAGACACATTTAAACAGCTCAGCCTACTAGAGGCCCTATTGACACAGAGACATACACTTTATGGGGGGGGGTACCCTATAATCCCTAAAAGCAGCTCCTCGCCATGAGGAGCTCTTAGTAAAGACAGAGCACCATCCTATCAAGGCTACAAGTCCTTGTGTAGCCAGAAACAAAGAGTAAGCAGGGAACTCAGACAGAGGGACACTGAGGGACAGACAGCTTGTAGACAGAACTAGAGAAGAAGAAACATGAGACACCTAAGGGGAAAAAGCTGTGAAAAGACATAAAAAACTCTCCAGGAAGATAATCATGGGGACAGAGAAAGAAATGTAAAGACGTGGAATCAGGTATGAAAACAGAAACACCAGAAGATCAGGGACCTGGGGATACAGCTCAGCCGGGAGAGCTCGCCTAGCATGCACAAAGCCCTGTTTGATGCCCAGCAACATATAAAAACAGACGTGCCACATCTGCAACCCCATCAATCCAGAGGCTTAGGATACATGTGGCCCAGTGATGGGACTTACTGTCTCAGCCCTGGAGATGGAGCCCAGGCCCTGGCTCACCCCAGACAAGCGTTCTATCACTGAGCATTCTCGGCCCCCATCAGCTCTTGAACAGAGGAAGAAGGAAAGCCATGTGCCTTGAGGGGTAGATCTGTCTACTGCTGCAGGCTGGGTAGAATGCCAGTCTCCCTCGACAACTTAAGTAGTTCCCGAATACAGGTACACAGCTTCACTCCCACACAGTCTAGGCTAGGACACAGGACACATCACGGTCACAAGTCTCACTGTTGCTCTACTACTGAAGTCACACATTAGTATACAAAAAACCCAGCCACACTGGCAGACAAAATCTAGACCCCACAGAAGTTTCCCAAAACACATTCCCTGGTGTGGTCCCAGCCGTTGTCCCAAATGAACATCTAAAGAAAAATTACCCACTGACAGACGCATCTCCCCAGCTGCTATACCACCAGCAGACCCAGCTGGAATCACACTCTCAAACGCAGTCACACTGACAGACACACCAGATGACACCAGTTTCAGAGCCTCACACACACTGACATCGCCACACACACAGACACACTCATAGTCCATCAGTCACTCCCAGCCTTTCAGATCACACACTACCCTGCCCCGCCCCCTCTTGGCAGGACTTGGGGAGACAACACCCCGGTCCCAGCAGGCCTCACCTTCTGCGGCAGCCGCCGCCAGCGCCCTCCGCCCTCACCCTCTGCCCTGGCCTCTACTCCCTCCAGTGCTGAGTCCCGGCAGTGGGGGCGGCTCCTCCCAGCGCCAATAGAACGAGAGAGGTGAAGCAGGGTGGGGGGGACTCTCGACCCATTGGAGCCTCCAACTGCCAATCACTTCCACCTCCTCTGGACACTTCCTGTCCCGTCTGGAACTTAGAGGAGGGTGTCAGAGTAGGATTCCTAGGACAAAACCTGAAACTGCATTCCTCAGACCTCTCCTGAAGGCCTGTCTTCCCAGGGACAGCAGGCCTGAAAGTACCCAGGCCCTTCCTCTCCCTGCCGTCCACACAGCCTCAGGTTCCCTACTGAACCACCGGGCCGCTTGCTGACTGTAATCGATGAAGGTGCCCCTGACTGTAGATAAGATAGGGAGCTGGAAGGTTGGTCTAGTTCTCTTCTACCTTTAAAACAGTCAGGCTGCATCCCATGCCAGTGAAATCAGACTCTCTTCTCCTTCCATCTAGATTCCTGTGCTGTTTTGAAAACTTCCAGGCGTTTCCAAACTTTGGCAAGATTAGGGTGTGTGTGTGTGTGTGTGTGTGTGTGTGTGTGTGTGTGTGTGTGTTTATGTATGCCCTAAGAAACCAGCCACCTACCCAGGCAGCAAGGTCAGTGCCTACTTTGTCTGATTTTCCAGCCCCAGGCAACATTCCTAACCACAGGCACCCATCCTCTTTCCAAGGTCTCAAGAAGAATGGCTCCAGGTTGGATGACGAGAAAGCAAGGTTTCCTCAGTCAGACCCAGTCACTAGTCCAGGCTTAGTGTGACTTCCCAACCCTAAGATTCAGTTCCCCCTGAAAAAGAATGGATGAAAAACATTCTAGCCATCCTGAGATGTCTGTCACAGCTCTTATATTTGCTTTAGACTTTGGAGACCACTGTGTGGTATCTGGTCTCAAATATCAAAGGCCCTGTAGTTCCTCCACTATTATCACAAGGAAAAACAGATCCAGAGAGGAGGTAGACTCAAGATCATTCTAGGCCCTGGGCTATCTCTGGCTGTCCTTGCCAAGCTTAGCACTGTTTTCTGTTCCATGCAGTTTTTGTAGCATAGGTACAGTACTTGAAGGTACATCTGCTGCACACAGAAATCGAGGAAGCCAAGAACACAAAGCCACATGCACGCTCCCAACCCGCCCCTTTAGCCCCTGTGGTCTGGAGCAGCATCTAACTGTGGCCACTCACAAAACCAGGGTTCTGGCCAGCAGCCCAGTGTCTGGGGTGACCACTGGGACTAGGGTTCTGCTCACCCTCTCCCTACCAAACTTTGAGACTCAGGCTTGGTGAGCTGACAATGGGCTCAGTAATACGAGGGCTCTGGCCTTCCAGAAGACTCTGCCAAGCTAAGAACACAAGATTTTAAAATATCCTCCTAAGTTAGCTTGCTGTTTATATCACAAGTGAAGAGGACTGGAAACAATACTGAATATTGTTCAGAGAGCAGAGGTAGAATTTCTTCTCTATACTTAGGGCTGAACACAGGGTCTTCCACGTGTCAGACATGCACTTTATCACTGACCTATTTCTTGGGTCCTTTGTACCAGACAGTCTCACCAAGCTACCCAAGCTAGCCTTGAATTTGCAATCCTCCTGCCTCAGAGTCCTGGGTAGCCAGGATTACAGACCTGTAACATGAGGTCCAGCTTGGCTTTGGTTTTAGTGATTAGGTCTTGCTATCCACACTGGTCTCAAACTCAGAATCCTAATCCAGCCTCCAATGTGGTGGAACTACAGTCATGCAGCATCATGTCTGGCTTCGTGAAGGGGATTCTTGCATCTAATTTTTGAAAATCCATAGGCAAGAATGTTTGGAGTCACACTTAGCCTTTACCCAAACTCCAGAATATAAGAATCCACACTCCTCTGGTGTCAGAAAACATGGTTAAAATGTGAGACTCAGTTTTATTGATATCACATCTGCCGGAACTCCAGGTCCCAGGTCTGTCACGTACAAAGATTCAATCGGACTGGGATTGCTGTGATCCCAGTCAAGCGGTGGCTGCTATTTCCCTGTCCTTCTGCACCAGGCAATAGTGTACCTCAGGAAGCGCCCTTAATCTTTCTGCAGCCTGTAAGGGGACAAGAAACAATCAGGGAGAGTAAGGGTCACCTGGAATTATGTGGAAGAGGTTTGGGCCCAGGAAATACTGAGGAGGGCTTGTGGGATGGGAAGATTAGTTCAAGATAGCTTGGAGTCACCAGGGGGTGTGGAGTTGAGCAATGACTGAGTTCTAGGAATGCAGAGATTTTTATGAGGCTCTTCAAGGTCATGACTGCTAAGATCCCGTGAGGAAATGAGGTGAAAGGATATGACGACCCAGGATGTGAGTCCTGACCTGTTCAGGAGTGAGGTCACGCTGAGCCTGGGCAAGCATTTCATAGCCAACCATGAACTTCCGGACAGTAGCAGACCGCAGAAGTGGGGGGTAGTAGTGAGCATGGAGCTGCCAGTGGTCACAGGTGGCTCCAGTCTTTAATCCTGTGGGAGCCCCTGACAACAAGACGACAGAGATGATCTGGGAGGCCCTTTGTCAGCCTTCAGTCTAGCCCCTCCCCTAAACTAGGCCAGGTACCTGAATATTACATCTCCCAGTATTTTCCACCAGGGAGCTCAAGCATTGGGAAGCAACTGGTAACAGTGTCACCAAATCTCTCTTCTCTCAGTCCCAGTACCCCAGCTCTGGACAGTTGTTTTAAGGCCAACAAGTGTTTTAAGGCCTTGTAGAGATTATAGTTCCCTTAGCCAGAATCTAAGAGCCCAGAAAGCCCAGAAATACTGTTGGGGCTACCCCAACACCAAAAGCCTTACCATGCCAGCCCATGGAGTAGGGAAAGGATGTCTCAAACAGGTTGTCATACTTGGTCAAGAGCTTCTTCATGATGGAGGCTAGATCTGGAATCAGAGCCTGATTTTCACCCCGGGGAATAGATGATGGTCCCATCAGGGCTATTCTATCCAGCACCAAGTCCCATGGTACTACCAGGGAGACTCACCATCACGCTCAGCAGGGGTCAGCTCAGGTAGCCGCAGCACGTGCCGCCGGGGCAGCAGTAGTGTCTGGAAAGGCCACACTGCCCAGAAGGGGACCAGAACTATCCAGTGCTCACTGGTCAGGACCAGACGTTCCTGGACGCACAGAATGGAAGTGAAATATGCATGTGAGAGGGGGAAGGGGGTGAGCGGCAGGAAAGCGGAGGAATCTGAACCTCTCCACGTGTACTCGCACCCTACTCTAATATTAGCATGGCTGCTAATGTCCTATCCCCCTTTAAAGCATGTCTCTCTGGGAGGGTGAAAGGGCTAGAGACTCCCTGGGGACACAAGGCCTGCCTCTCTCCCACCTTTCTGAGAAGCTCTTGGTGACCATACTCCAATAATAAAGGCTTTCCATGCTGGCTGTGATAGGTCTGTTGGGATCGCTCTTCGCGCTGGGCAATATCTGGCAGGAAACTGCTAGCCCAAACCTGTCAAGGGGCAAGCACAAAGAAGAGCAGGTGAGTGCATTATCTCTAAGCCTCTGCATACCAATGTGTTTCTTTTGCCCTATCCCTTAATCTAGTTATCCTGTCCACAGTGTCAGTGGACTCATCCAAGAAAGCCATTACAGCCTGTCACATACTTGCCTGGCAGTGGGGATGGGGGTTAGAACAGCCCATCATGGCTCCTTTGTTTTCAAAGATCTATTGGGTATAAGAAGAGAGATTCAATAGTCACACAGACATCAAGTCAACCCCTCCTCACCACACCCTGTGGAAGCAGTAATGCTACCCCTCCCCAAACCAAAGGTACACCTCCCCCTCACAGACCTGCACCCAAGGGTACTGGGCACCCAGCTCCTCTGTGACTGAGGCCCATGCATCGATGACAGCTCGGATCTCAGGGACAGACATGAGTGGCAGCGTCACATCCGACCAGGGGTGGAAGCACATGACCTTACTAGGTGGTGAGGACAGAAATGACAGAGGGATATAGGGAACGGGTGCTAAGGGCAGGGCCCAAGCCCAGGTCTTAGTCTTCAGCCCTGGGCTGGAGATTGTAAGAGGGGAAACCCATAGTTACCAAACTCCTCTGGCGGCCTCTGCTCGGAAGAGAGGGTGGTCACTGGGTCCTGGAATAAAGGAGTATTACTCTCTGCAGCACAGGTTCCCCGGTCAGATGCAGTCTCCCTTCTCTCCAACAGTGGTTAAACTGAGGGTACCTGGATCCGGAGCATCTGGCTGCAGAGCTGGGAAGTCATTGTCAAACAGGAAGGTGCCATCATAGGGGGGATTCACCTACTGACAAGAACAGGCTAGAAATACTACCACCTGACGGAATTCAAGGGCTACCCAGGCTGCAAGGGGGGCGAGGAAGGCCCACTCTAAGGATCAAAATTGCTTGATGGGAAATGAACCAAAAGGAGGCGCACTGCTCCCTCTTGTGGACGAAGGGCAGTAATAAGGAAGAACTATTTCCTCCTATTCCACTTGGTGGCTGTGTATTCCGGCTTACCTCCCCATTAGCTCGTGTGGCCCCGGGACACAGAGGGTTGAGTGGGTCATGACGGGGCACCGTCTTCAGAAGCTGGGGCTCCACTTGTCCTTGCCAGGGCCGCTTCATGCGATGGGCTGACACTAACACCCACTCATCCTGGAGCGGGTTGTAGCGAATATGCTGGTGTTCTGGGGACAGTCAGTCAAGAATCAGTCAGCAAAACTCCCTGTCTTCCTCTTCCCGGAATGGTTCTATTGCCCTAGCAGGCCCAAGTTCAGGGACCCTCGGTCTGAGCACTGTTTCTAGAAGCTAAAGGCTGGGGAATTGAAGGGTTAAACGCTTTCAGTGCCACATGTCCTGCAAGCCCTTCCTTCCTTCGCCCGTCACCCTGGCCTCGGGTAGGAGTGCCGACCTTGACGCTGGGACTAGAACTTCCTACAGAAAAGGAAGGCTCGGCTCCGCACCGCAGCGGGTCCAGACCGCCCAGCAATTACCGCTTGCCCGGAAGGTCGCTGCCATGGCGTCCGCCTCTGAAGCTTGATGGCGCTGCTCAGGATCGGCTCCGCTGTGTGACATAAGGCCACACGAATTGACCTAAGGTCAATAAAAATGGTACGCGGGGCTAACTAAGCTCAGCATTCCAGTTCCCCCCGCCCACCCTGGCTGATTGGCTGGCCGCCAACACGTGACGACAGCCTGCCACTTGAGGGCGGGGCTCCAGACCGCCACATACCTCCCCAGGTTGTTTTGAAGATTCTTCTGCACACCGGATTGAAGCCACTTATCTGGAGAGCATCTGTGAAAACTGGTTGCTGTATCTATTCGTCCGGCCACGGATTCAGCAAATATATACTGGAGGGGAAGCGAAATTTTCATACGCGTACATAATGACTTTTGGTCATAGCGACCCTCCTTTGTTACTGTGTCTCCTTTTCACCCGCTGAACCTTTCTTTCCAATAAACACCCCTACTTTCGTGTCCATTTTCGGGTTGCTTGGATGAGCTTAAGGCTATTTTTTGGAGCATGGGCAACATATCCGCTTCATCACTCAAGGACACTCCTCCTGCCAGCAACCTTTAACTGCCAATAGTCTCTCAGAAAGGGCGGAGCCTCGTGAGTCCTTTTCCCCCCCACCCCCCACTGCCCCTATCCAGTATGAAACCTTAATGGGTCCATCTTCATGTTTTGTGCAGGTAACCACAGGTGCAGTGAGTTCATGTGTGCAATGGCTCTCATGTTCAGAAGACATCGTTTAACTGAGCATCTTGAACGTATGCCAGGCACTTAGGTTCTGTTCAGAGCATAGAGTTGTCCTGTGCGGAGAACAGCAGCATTCTGTACTTATAATGACCTGGGTCACCTCCAGAACAGCTGTGGTTAAGATGCAAGTTAGCGGGGCGGGGTAGGGGGCAGGCTTGATCATACTATAGATGAGGCCTGCAGTCTGGAGATGTGAGTACTTCACTGTAACTATGCCTCTATCCTTATCAGCAGAAATAAGCTTAGATAAAAAGAACTGAGTAGGGCTGGAGAGATGGTTCAGCGGTTAAGAGCACTGACTGCTCTTCCAGAGGTCCTGAATTCAATTCCCAGCAACCACATGGTAGCTCACAACCATCTGTCGTGGGATCCGATGCCCTCTTCTGGTTAGTCTGAAGACAGCTATAAATTGTACTCATATACATAAATACATCTTAAAAAAAAAAAAGAACTGAGTAAGTATGGGGTGTGGTGGTGGTATAGACCTGTAATCCCAGCACTCCAGAGACAGAGATGGTAAAGTTACAAGTTCAAGTTCAGCCTGCACAGTTCTACATAGCAAGAACCAATCTATAAATAAGTAAGCAAAAAGAAAGTAATATGTGTGTGCACAGTGGTGTGTTTGCCCATAGTCTCAGCTATTCTAGAAGCTGAAGCAGAAGATCATTTGAGCCCACAAGTTCTAGACCATTCTGGCCAATATAGTGAAGCTAATCTCAAAAACAAGCAATAGGCCATCAGTGTTTGAAAGGCAGAGACAGGAATCTCTATGAGTAGTAGCCTGGCTACATAAAGAGTTCCGGCTACATAGAGTTCTAGGCTGTTGAAGTCTGGTCTGTTGCTATGTGCTGTGATGCTAAATACTAGCTCCCAAGGTCTGGTCGCCCCTTGGGACAAGGAGATGCTCATATATACCAAATGATGCTATGGAACCTTTCCTCTCTTTATACCTGATTGGTTAATAAAGATGCCTACAGGCTATGGCTGGGCAGAAGAGAAGTAGGCAGGGCTTCAGTTCCCCGGCTTGGGGTATGTGGCAGAGACCATGGAAGGGGGGGGGTTGGAGAGAGGGGAAGACACTATGGGGTAAGGGATCGTGAGAACTGGCCATGTGGTCAGGCCATTTGGACTAAGAGCAGCCCAAATAGAACATAGCAAGTCATATCCCTGAATTTAGACAAAATAGCCATAGAGGGTTGATATCTGCCCAGCTCTACTGCTGTCTTAGGCTTACTGCAAACATAAAGGTTTAGTGTTTTTTATCTGTATAGCAGGAACACAGGGCGGGGAGGGTGGAGTGCAGGAGGGTATGCAGCTGAAAAAGCATCTCCTGTAGGAGGACCTAATTGAGGACTGCCTGAGAGACCAAGGATTGCTGGTGCAGACAATGCCAGCCAATCAGGAACTGCTGTTTAGAAGAGCTGCTTGCTTGGGACCAATGGGTCATGGGTGGAGGGTATTAAAGGAGCTTGCAGCAGTGTTCAGAGAGCTTGCTGCAGTGTTTCTCACCTGCTCCTGGAATCTGTGTTGTTGACTCTGCGCCACCTCACCTCCAACCCCCAAGGGCAGGTAGGGTCAGGTGGTGAGTAGTCCAGGGCATAGGAAACATCTGGCACCCAGCGTGGTGGATGGATGACTTTATCATCCTCGTTTTGTGGCTGCTTGCGAACCTCCTGTTCCAGAGGCTTTATTATGCCTGCTGCTGCAAGGACCGTGCTGGTGGTCTGACCTCACGATGCTGCTGTGGTGCCCCCTTTGGTTGCTTCTTCAATGAGTTGGCCCCTTAGTGTTTTATGTTGTGGATCCCAAGAAGGTGAGCACTTGGACCTCATTTCTGTCTTCTTTGTCTTTTCTGTCTGTCCATCCCCGTGACCTCACTTTTGGTCTTGGTTCAGTTCGAGGTTGAGCTTGCAGCGGTCTTCTCTTCACTTTTCTTTGACTTTGGGTGAGCATGCTGTGGTGAAAGTGCAGCAGACAATATTTTCTGTCTTCTTTGTCTTTGTCTGCTTATTTTCACTTTTAGTCTGGAGTCATCCTGGTACCTGATATAGGGGTTGGCTTCCCAGGTAGTGGTAGCAGGGATTGGCTCTCGAACGCCTTTCCCATTCCAGGTACAATGTCCAGACATAAGGCCTTTGAGCTACAATACCTGAGAGAGTCCCTTGGTACACAGTGACTTTTGTTGCTTCTTCTGTCATATTTGTCACATCTGTTCATTGTTTGTTTCCTTTGTGTTCATCATCATGGGTTCTCTCCCCTCTACCATCAAGGAACCCCAGATTAGGGCTCTGAAAACCCTTCTGGTTACTCATGGTCTTAAGATTAAGACTCACGACCTGGACCAATTTTGAGAGGAAGCTGCTAGTTTGGCCCCGTGGATATCCCCAGAGAACATGTGGGATCCTGACCTCTGGATGCGTGTTCTCTTCCTTGCCCGCAAGCATGAGGTACAGGCTGGGATTACCCCTCCCTTGTTCTTTGTCCCCATTCTCCTTGTAGTCATTGCCAGTCTTGAGAATTCTTCCCCAGAGGGAGTGGTGGCTGCCCTTCACAAACACTGCCAGAATCAAGCTAATATTCACCTTTCCATTACTGACCCCCTCCTACTTTCTCTGGGCAAACAGGTTGATTTTAGCATTGAGGATGAGGGAGCCTCTCCTCAAGTCCTCCAGCCCTCAGGCTCCAAGCTGTCTGCTAGCCCCACTGTCCCAGGTCCCTCATTCACTAGCTGTTCCACTCCTGCCCTATCGGAGGTACCCCCAGGTTACCCCGTCTTGATTTGGGGGGACTTTGCCTTCCATCGCTTACTCCTGCTGTGGTTGCTCTTGCGATGCCCATCCCTCATGCTGGACTGTCTCTCCCCTGGGGGCCTCATTCTCCTCAGGTATATCGTGAAGCTTTCCCTGATGTGGCAACTAGGCCCTGTATTCCCGCTCCTCTGGCAGACTTGGCACTAATCACAAAAGCTGCCAACAATGCTGGCCCAGATTCCCCTTAGTTTGAACAAGCACTGAAGCAATGGGCACTTCCAGACCTATTACGATTAGTATAATCTCCTTAAGGCAGTGCTCGACCCCACTGTGTTTCTCAATTGGAGGGCTGCATATCGTGACTTGGCTGAGAATCAAGCTAGGATTAATTTGGAACATAACCTTAACATTACTTTTGATATGCTAACTGGTCACGGGGCATACATTAACCCTGTTGCTCAGGCCACTATTGGACTCCATGCTTACTTTAACCAGGTTTCTGTTCTTGCCTTTCAGGCCTGCACCCCTTGGGACCCATCTGCTCACTTTCTCAATCTTGTCCAGCAGTCTGGGGACTGCTTCATGGACTTCCTGTCCCATGTGACTTAGGCAGTAGATAGGTGGGTTGATGCTGGTCCAACCAGAGACATGCTCATCAAGCAGCTTGCATGGGAATGCCTTAATGCCCCGACTCGCAATGCTGTGGCAGCCATAAGGAATGATGATATCCATAAATGGTGTTGCTCCTCGTGATTTGGACCCTGGCATGGGCCCCACCGCAACCCTGACTGCCTCCATTGAAGCCTTGGCCATGGAGCATGTTCAGAGGACACACCCTTTCCCTGAAGGGCCCCCTGATCGCACCTGTTGGGGCTGTGGCAAGCCTGGTCACCTCAGACAGGACTGCCCTTCAGCTAAGATTAATCAGCTAAGGATTGTCATTCTCAAAAGCAGGAAGACAATTTAATCTCCCAAAGGGGCACCCCTCAGCCCCACCAGTAAGAGGGAACCCTGATCAGCCAGGAGTCCTTTGGACTTTGCCTGTGTTGCCTCACTCCCCGATGATAACTGTACACTTAGACCATCTACCTGTTAAAGGACTGGTTGACACAGGGGCAGATGTCACTATAATAACAAAAGATGAATTATTGAGGTTCCCCATTGGAGATTCTGGTCTGGTCCCTCCATTATGGGAGTTGGAAGCCAACATGCCACCAAATGACTACCCGACCTGTCCATTGGCAGGACTTGGATGGCAATCGGGGATCTTTTATACCTGCTGTAGCTGATGCTCTCCACAACCTTTGGGGAAGAGATATTCTGGAAGACATGGGTGCTGTCCTTACTACAGATGATGTCCTCTTTTTGTTGACATTATGCAACATGACCCACTAGACTTCACAGGTCACAAAGTTGGGGATCACCCCCAATTCTATTGACCACTGCCCACCCAGTTCCAATTGACATCAAGGAACCTAACCCTATACTGTTGGCTTAGCTGTCTGTAGCAGATATATGGGGGACTAATGGCCCATTTTGGAACCTAAGCTTTCTGCTCTCAAGGAACTGGTCTTGGAACAATTAGCTTTGGGTCATGTGGAACCCTCAACCAACAGACATTATTTTTTAAATTTTTGTTATTAAAAAGACATCAGGGAAATATAGGCTTTTACAGGATCTGAGAGTCATTGTATTACAGTTGCCCTCATTGTGGCCATCATTGCAGGCACTGCCGGGGTAACAACAGCTGCTGTTGCCTTGACCTTGACAGCCGCTATGGCAGGGACTGTCAGTGCTGTAGTCTCTAAGTCAGCTGAGGTGCTGCAGGCACAGGAGGTACTAAATCAACATCTTTATCAAGCCATCACATTTTACAACATTGACTTACTGGCAAAAGAATTGGCCCTTGTTAAGAACATGTCTCTATTGGCATGTGACCCGAGGTTTCACTCAATCTGCATAACTCCTTACCAGGTACATAATCCACTAAAGCCCAACAACAGTCAGCTCAATA